GTGCGAGCGGTGACCATTAGTACAACACACCGACAAAGACCAAGGGAGAACGCATTGTAGACATTTTGCGTTCCCCCACATCCATACTACATGAGGGTGCAAAATATACAGGAGATGTTTTCATCAAGCTGGAAGTTAATGAACCTTTGTAGGGTCGTACCCGGCAGCCGACCACTTCCGTTGTAGCTTAGACACACCCGCACTGCAAAGCAGACACCACCCCTTCCAGCCATCTTGCCAAAACATGCATCCTCTATTATCACATCGGAGATATACACGTCACGGGTGTTTAGTTTCCCCTACCATCACTCTCTACGAACCATCATGGTGCCACCACTCATCCCAGGCGGAAAAGTCGAATAGGAGAGAAACATGATCCCTGGATGCGGATCGAGCCTAGCAGGCACTCACCAAGTAGGAATAGCACGCCACTATTATTCATGGCAACGTAGATCCATGAAAAGCTTCCGGTGCCGGGGATCGAACCCGGGTCTAGCGGGTGAGAGCCGCTTGTTCTAGCCACTATACCACACCGGACACGCACCTCCCCATCTCCGCCCATCCATGCGAAACAATTTCCGTTCCGCCCAGGCTGCAGCTGAGTCCGCACTAAAAGCGCCCGCGCGCTATTGAATGCGCAGCAGCCTGTTGCTGCAAAACGATGTCTCACAAAGACACAGAGCCGGAGAAATAGAAAGAGGTAGCACCCGCATTCACTTCCTAAACGATGAGCGAAACTGTGGGAGCACGCGCCCGGGCACACCACTACAGTGATTCAACAAAAAAAAAATATTAAAGAAAGGAAGAAGATGACTTACAAAGATGTGCATCAGAATAAATCAGAGAACGGGGATAAAGAAAATAAAATAAAAAAAAACAGCGACCATGAGTGGCGTTCTGTTTCCACTGACCGTACTACTACAAGTCGTGCCTTCTCTCTGGTCTTCTTGTTGTTGGTTTTTTTTTTTTCTTCTTTGTTGTTGCTGTTTTTTTCGCCCCTCAAGATCGCCTATCCACTACTACGTACGTGCGCCTGCCAAACAGCACACAGGGTCGCTACCCCAACACGCTGGCACACACACAAACATTCATACACACACCCCTTCCTCTTTCTCCCTCTCGTCACGCTTCCTTAATGGAACGGGTTCTTGTCATCTTCAGCCTGGCGCTTCTTCGTCCAGTACTTGGTGTACTTGGCCTGCGCGACGCTATCCTGGAAGGGCGGGCGGTACTCCGCCCACGCCTGGTAGCGTATGAGCACTTCACCCCACGTCAATGCACAGTTCTCCACTGGCGGCACCTCGGCCTTCAGGGCCTTGGCGACGCACACTCGGTGTGCTAGCTGCGCATTCTCCAAGTGCTTCTGCAGCGCCTCACTCGGCGTCATATTTTTGATGGCGTCGTTGGAGACGTCGTGGAAGGCAAAATCGGAAGACATGGCCGAAACTCCCACGCACGTTTAATTCCTTGATGGTGAAATCAACCTGTACGCGTGAATACAAAAAGCATGAGAGTAATAAAGAAAAAAAAAGGCCAGCTGTGGTGTGAGACACACGAGTGTGACACCGAGCGCAACACACTGCACATCAAAACAAACAGATGCACTTGGCATGAGATGAAAAAAAAAAAACGGCAGGGTGCCCCCCACACCCATTGTTCCGCTACGCACACCGCTCCTGTATCACTGCACCTCGCAGTCTTCAGTGGTCGGTCGCGGCGCTGCGGGTCTCCGCGTGGCGCGTGGAGCAGCCGACACCACCTGCGCTTGCTGCACAGTGCAGTTTTGGTTATTCTCTTTCGGCTTCTGCTGTTGTTGTTCTTGTTGTTGTTGTTGTTCGTTCGTGGGTGTCGCAGCAGCAACAGCGGGCGGTGACTTGGTTTCCCGAGGCGACTCGCCTGCACTGACGAGTGGCGCGCGCTCAGCAAGCAGCCGTGCCGCCATTCGCACCGCTGCTGTTTCGCAAAACAGCACCTCCTCACGGAGGGCGAGCGCCAACTCCTCACACGACGTGCGGTACCCGCGGCTCAACACCTCGCCGGCCGTCTCTTGGTTGCCACGCATGGCAGCCTGCAGGCACCGCGTGGTGCACTCCTGCAGCGGGCGTGGGCACTCGAGGCTTTCGTGCGGCGTGGCGTGGCAGTGTTCGACCGCGTTGAACACGCGCGTTAGAAAGCCCACGCTGCTCAGCGCCTGGCAGAGAAGCTCGTGGGTGCATCGTGATGTCGATGACGTCAGTGCAGCTTCCTCCCCTTCAACCGCCGCCGTTCTTGCTGTTGTTGTTTCTGCCGTGCCACGCAAGGGTCGCGCGAGTGCCGCCTCGAACGCCGCGATGCGGCCTGCCTGCTCCCCCAGTTGAAGCTGCAGCGAGCGCACCTCGTGCTCGCGGTCCTCCAGCTGCTTCCGCAGCCCCTCCACCACGGCATCATTGTCCTTGCTGCGCATCTCCCGCAGGTGAAGGGCGGTGGTCCTTGCGCTCAACTCTTGCAGGCGATGCTCGAGAAGCGCTTCGTGAATGGCATGGGCCTTCACCTGATCCCGCAGTCTCTCGTTCTCAACTCGGTAGCGAACGAGCAGTTTCTCCCTCATTGGCTCCGTCGCCACCTCAACGGGGTCCTGTCGCTCCTGTGAGACGTGGCGAATAACAGCGGGAGGGGAAAACTCCTTAGGTGCCGACGGCACCGAGCCACCGCGGTCGCCGGCGCTGCTGCTGCTGCTAGTGTTGCCTGGCGGCAGGTAGAAGGCGCTGCCAGCGTGTCGCGGACGAAAGATGTTTGGCTGATCGCGCCACATTCCGCATATTCCACACACCCGTCTCCTTGCAACTGTATATATTTATATTTATATATATATATGTGTGTGTGTGTGTATATGTTCACAAGAAATCGAGAGGGAAGACGTCAGACGGCCACACTTTGAAGCGCAGAAAGGAACTAATACCAGCAACCGAAAGCAGTGGTTGCTGTAGGAGCATTAGCAGCAATCGCTGCAGTTGCCGCGATTCCAACTCCAAACTCTCAACTGACGCCACCTTTTTTTTTGTTCCGTGTTCCTCTTCTTCTTCCTCCGATTACTTGCGCCATTGCCTTTTTCTCATTGGTGTCTCTCTTTCCCTGTTTCTTATTTTCTCGGTGCCTTGCCGCCGTACATATTGGCAAGCCTCTTTCTTCTCGTGTTTCTTGCGTTTGCTCTTCCTCTCTCAGTTTTTCACTGAGAAGTGAGGCGTCAGAAAAAACAAAGCCGCTTTCCCCATTCCCTCTTCTCGTCTCTACAATACACAAAAAAAAACCACACACATATATATGGGATGCAACTGCGGTAGTTCCTTCCCTCCCTTCCCTTCCTTTCCTTTCCTTCTACGCAGGGTGTGAAGCGTGTGTATATGCACATGTTTATTTTGTCATTTGTTGATTTCTTGGGTAATACCGCTATTGTTTCTGCGCAAACGGTGCGGTGGACGGCGGCTTGTCCAGGTTGAAGGTGTGGCCGCCCCAGGTTGGTGCCACTGGCCGCACTGGCGGTGTCGAGAAAAGTTTCCGCGAGTTCTCCGCCGACCAGCAGCTGGGGATGGGGTTCTCCTGCTTCTTCGTCGCGCNGGCGGTGTCGAGAAAAGTTTCCGCGAGTTCTCCGCCGACCAGCAGCTGGGGATGGGGTTCTCCTGCTTCTTCGTCGCGCGCTGCCGCGTGTCGAGCGAGGAGTCGCCGCTCAGACCGCCTGGCTCGCTCGATGCCGTCACGCCAGAGGACGGCAGCTCCAGCGACGGCAGCCGCTCGTGTACACTGGAGAAGTCAGAAGGCACGAACTCCGGCGAGAGCTCGGCATCGGCGCCCACAGCCGAGCTGACGGCGCGGTAGCGGCGCAGATACGCCTGCCACGAGGTATCCTCGCCGCCGCTGCTGATGTCGTTTGTCTCGCGATTCCGCCTTGCGTCACGTAGCCGCGAGAGGCTCGGCGCGAACAACTCGAGTGTCGAAGGCAGCACAACGTCCGTGAGGTCGAGCACACACAGCTTTATTGTTCCATGTAGAGGGACGTGTGCAAAGGCCTTGAATTGTCTGCGAGAGGCCTCGTCCTGCGTGAATGTCACTATCTCTTCCACAGGGGCCTCTACGACGACCGCGATTGGCATTTGGCGGGTTTTGGCATCCTCCCGCAGCATTTTGAAAGTAATGGGGTGGAGATAGTACGGTTGCCCCTCCGACTCACCATAGAGGTCATATGTCGCTGCCACGTCCATGTCTGGACGCTTCGGAGCCATGGGAGGGGAACTGCGTATCCCTGCCGGTGGTGGCGATGACGGCGGCGGTACTGCGCTGTCCTGCAACACCATGTTGAGAGCCNATGGGAGGGGAACTGCGTATCCCTGCCGGTGGTGGCGATGACGGCGGCGGTACTGCGCTGTCCTGCAACACCATGTTGAGAGCCTCTTCGGAGAAGCGTTGTACCTCGTCGTCAAACTGTGTAAATGGTCTGGAATGTGTTTCAATGTTTCTCAGGTGGTCCATGATGCCAGCACAGTCCTGGCAGCGCTGTGTCTCTTCACCCTCCGCAGTGGCGAGGATGTACCTGCAGAACGTTGCCGATGGCTCGCCCTGGGAAGGGAGCGGCAATTCATCTTCCAGCGGCGGCACGTCGCTCCAGCGGGGATCGTCCTGTCGAAGTACAACGCATGAATTCCCCTGCCTCCGCAGCAAGGTGAAACTAGCGCGCTTGCCAACCGCAGGGGGTTGAATTGGGCGTAGGACGCACGGCCGAAGCATACTCAGGCTAAGATAGTTCTGACACACCGGGCATGTACGCTGCTTGCCCTCCGCCTTGCGTCTTGACAGGTACNACGGCCGAAGCATACTCAGGCTAAGATAGTTCTGACACACCGGGCATGTACGCTGCTTGCCCTCCGCCTTGCGTCTTGACAGGTACTGCAGCATGCACGACAGGCAGAAGGCATGGCCGCAGTCGGCGATGCGGGCGGCTGCTGGTGTCTCGAAACAGATCGGACACTGAAACTCCTCCAGCGTCCAGCGCACCACGACGGCCGTTACGGCCTCCCACGGCGGCACCGTGTCGCTTGAGAGCAGCGCCTCTTGGAGCCGTCGTTGTCCCTGCGGGAGTCCAGGTGTGGTCTTTATCCCCTGTACATCGCGTCGAAGCACAAGCTGGAAGTTGTGCAGCATGTAGGCTCGCTTGAGCACAAAAGGGTCGACAGCATTTCGCCTGAGCGCAGCAGGGCGGCGCGCGACGCTTGGGGAGTCGCTCTGCCACTCGTACTGGAAGTTGCCGATGTCCCTCGCCTCGACACCGCGTCGACTCTTCTTGTGCTTGGGCATATATGGAAATTCTGGTTTGGTTTTTGGTTATATGTTCGCTTTCGTGGGTGTGTTTGTGTGTGAAATTGTGTTGTGTGTTTCTTTTCTCTGCGCTTTTTTTTTCGACTTTTGCGTTCTTTCTACGGGTCTTCCTTCCCGGCCACACCCAATCAATTTTTCCTACCTTCTCAGGGAGCCCTATCGGGAGTCAAGCACGGTGGTGGTGCACACCGCAGATGCGGCCACACGCCACGCTTCACTCAATACACTTTGCGTCGCCCCTGCGCAGCCGATGCGGAGGAGGCAGCGACGGGGGGTTCGGCAATTCTTTCGTTGTTTGTTGTTGTTGTGGGTGCAGAAACAGCAGCAGGGGTGTGAGCATGAGACAAAGCTGAACAGTAGCGGGGAGCCGCCCCACATCCACACACATGAGACAGAGAGAAACTGACAGAGTGTGGAAGACAGGGAGAGAGAGAGAGGGGGGAGTTGCTTCACGCGGGGACGGATGCCGACACAAGGAAGTACGTCCCCGCTAACGCTGCACGCCCCCGCTGCCGAACCTCCACCCGCAGCGCGACGCACAGCGGTCGTGCGGCGCCGAGCAGCGGCAGCCCGACGCTGTGGC